TGATTTTCTTCGAGTGACAAGGATACTTTTGAGGATTTTAAGTCTTCTGCCACTGACCCTCCCCCTTATATGGCAAATATAAACATATATATCACTGCTAAAATGTTTTCTTGATGTACTTCTTAGCGTATTTCCTAAGAAATCATCAGGACTAAAAAACTTATTTCTTATTTTATGATCTTAGGGAAACTGCTCTGCTTCACTAAATTATAGTGGTATGATTATTTTTTATTTGTTTTACAGTCTACATATGTGAGATCAGCTATGAAAGTACCAGTAATAAAAGTAAAATTAAGAGCTTTTTTTTTCCTCAACATCTTTGGCCTTTTTTACTCCTGTTAATATCACAGAACCAGAGTAGTGAGCAGAAGTGCATTTAATCCTCAGATGAGCATTTGAAGTACAGGTGAATTTTTCAATACATATTTAAATAAATGTAGCTACTATTTCTACAGCTGCAAATACATTTGGTATTGGAAAATGGTATTATCTGAAAAATAGTTTTGAAAAATACACTTTTAAACAGTTTATACAAAAGGGAAAATTATTGAGCCATATGTAACGTTAATGTTGCTTTCTTCACTTTTCTGGGTGAACTTTAGGTCACAGTGAAATTAATAATGGAATATATCTTTGCAATGTTGAGATCAGGATTCATCCATAAACCTTCAGTGCTAAACCTAAAATTATATTTTCCATATGATGTTTTATTACTTCCTAGAAATGGATAATATAATTCTGACATAATTTATAGAGTTCTGACTGGGTTTCTCTTCTAGAAATTTGAAATATTTACGGGGTTGGTGAATATTCACTAGAGGAAGATGAGCATGTATGCCACGAAAACATACCTATTTGCAGGTAGATATTGTAAGGGGAAGGTATGGAGGATGTGCATGTGTAGTTAATTGTATAAGAAACTAATTTCTGCTTTAGACATCAGCCCTGGAGACTTTCATTCCATTTCACAGAAAATTTGAATGACATGATTAAGCTAAGAAAATGTAGAACTAAGAATAATTGTTAACTTTGGAGTTTTTTGAGCTATGTGTGGATGAAGTGATAGAGGGGGAGATGAGATGGCTTAAAGGAAAACAGAGCAGCCTGGGATGGAAGCAGTTGCCTGGTGGCAATACTGTGCACCAGGCATGAGCCTTTTTTTTTATTTCCCAAGTCAAATTCTCGCATCCATTGATAGGAGTTCTGCTGAGGCTGTGCCTCCCTTTAGGTCAAGCCTTGCATGGCTTGAAGGCATGTCATCCTGGGTGGTCTATGGATGTGACTAAGGTGGGACCCCACGGCGTGTCTCATCCAGTCATCTTTAGCCACAAGGGTTTGTGGAACCACACCTAGACCTCAAAAGTGGACTGAAGGTTTAAACTGAAGGGAAAAAAAAACCAGCAGTGAATGTGTTAGAACGCCTTGCAAGACTCAGCTCATTTTTGGTAAATACAATGTCTGAATGACTGTGGGAATTTGAGGACTGTTTAGACCCTATGGAGTTCAGGAAGTGCTTTTCCCAATCTTTCATAGCCAGTTTCTCAGTAGGGTCCATACAAGTGCCTAGAGAGGCAACCTCTGGTTCTGAAGAAAAAAAAATCTGTACAGAGTTAAAAAGATACTGTTGACTAACTTAAAATAATGAAGTTCAGGACCATTAAAACTGAGCTAATTAAAGCTGTGCTAGTAGGACATAGTCTAATGAACTGGGAACTTTGAACTAATAGATTTCATATGGTGGAAGAGAAACATTGATTAGTAATAACAACAGTGATGGTAGGATGTAAAAAAATGCCCTCTCTTGGTAGATCTGAACCAACCTGATTGTATTTTTCAGTATCTATAAAATTAGAGCAGTTGGGTCGGTTGGGTTGTGTGAGTGCTCCATCCCAAATACGTTATTCATACTGATCACATTTGCATATGAGTCACATTCAGTTTGAATTTGCCAGATGTCCATTTATGTTTGTTTAAATAATGAGATCATTCCATGAGGTGAACAGAACCTAAAAATATAGAGGGAAGACTGTTTGGAAAAACGAGATTTAAAATGCCTTACTTACATATTTTCACATCTTAGGGTATATTATGCAAGCAGGAGCACAGCAGTGTTGAGGAACTTTTCAAAAAAACTGTGTCCTTTGCTAACAGTTAGTTAAACAATATATTATATAACAAAGCTTCATTGAACTTGTTTCTATTTCCCAACCAAGCCAGTTTCTCTGATAATGAGAATATTCTCCTTTTGAATACATTCAAATGTACCATTTTCAAAGCCAGCATCATTTTGTTTCTCGTTTTGTGTAATGTGAAGATCCCAAGTCTTTTGGGATTGTTTTGTCATTTATTGTAGCATGGAAGATTTTTAAAAGGTCTTGCTCAAGGCAAAACTTACTCATAAACTGAGCAAACAAGGGGGAACTGAATTGTGAAGTTTTATGTTATTGAATTTACATAAACTCTTAACAAGCAATAAATTTTTCTTATGCACAAATGGAGACTACCAACTAACCACTTGAGTTCAACAAAGACTTCCCAAATGTGAACTTAGTTCATTTGAGACTTTTAAAATCTTGCTAAGCCTAAAGAAATTCTGCTTTGTTCGTACTGCAGCCAATCACTCCACACGTTTACATTTACATTAGTACTTGGTGAAATAAATTTAATTGTATACAATTTGAGATTGCTACCTTGGTAAAGAAAGTTAACAGCAGCAAATCAGAACACACTTTGGTGAGCTACTTTGATCTCTTTAAAGCAGAATTTGCAAGGAAGGGCTGCAAGAAAAAAAAATGGAGCCAAAGCTCTTGGTCTAAGCTCAATGAAGAGTAGAAAATAGATAGAAATCTAGGAGTACAGATGATATAATACACAATAAAAGGAAACCAATGAATTTCAGTTTCTAAGCTCCACCAGCTGATATACCAGAAGCAAGAGAATCTGATGACATAATATGTGTACTGAAAGAGGTTTCTCATGTTTAAGACATAACAGATGATATTATGTGAATTGCACTATATCTTGCCCATTCCCCAAAGAAATAGAGATCAGAAGCACAAAAACATCTTCAAGTTTCCCCAAGCAAAATGTTCTGTATGTTTTGGACCAGAAAATGGGAAGGAGGCAAGGGTACATTTCAAATCAGAGGAAATGCACCATCACAGCAGTGTGTTTATTTTGTTCATTTGTTCCAGACTGTCCATTCTAGGTACAGCTTTCTTAGAGGTCAGTTTGCTGTTTCTGCCATTTTCACGTCAGTAGCAGCTGTTACTTGAATATATCAAGAACAGACTTTTCTGAAATTTAATTGAACTAGATCTGCTGTAAAATCTGCTGTAAATCAGTGGGCAAGGTTCACATCAGGCTGTGCATGGATCACTAATGCCTGCTTTTGCTGAGATGCAAAAGTTTGAACAGCAGCTGGAAATTTGTAGAAGTAGAAGCCCAAGCAGACCAGGTTGGACGGGGCTCTGAGCAACCTGGGATAGTGGAAGGTGTCCCTGCCCATGGCAGGGGTGGTTGGAACTAGGTGATCTTTAAAGTCCCTTACAACACAAAACATTCTATGATTCTATTACTGAAGGAGAGTTTTATGATTGTGTGGCATCTAGAAAATACACGTGTGTTCTGCTGGTGACTAGACTTGACACATTCATCTTTGTTGAAACAAGTTGCCAAAATATTCCAGCTTCCAGAACCTGCTTTTGCATGTTAGAGCAACTTACGGAGCAGCAAAGCACAGACTCATATAAATGCTTCCCTTTGTGTGTTAAATCACAGCAGTGCAGCTTTATCCTGAGTGCATTTTCAAAGTGAAGTGCGAGCTGTCCTAACTTTGCCTTGCATTCTGTGTTGATATGTAAAAAAATAGTTTGTTATAAAACAAAATGTCCATTCAAGTGATTGTTAGAGCAACTAACTGGACTGCTGATTGAAAAGTATATATGTGCAGAGTGATACCACAGGATCAGTTTTTGTTTAAAGCTGTAATTAAAGCTGTGAGTGTGAGGTAAAAGAGGCACGATATTTGAAAAGCATATCCATTTGCCATCAGTCAAGACATTGCATATGGTCTTGTGTTCAGCAGTCTGACAGAAGTGCTGGACTTCTTCAAAATTCCATTACTTCCTTTCTCTCCAGTGGTATAACTTTTATGCTACACTACCTTTCAGTCTCCCCCTGTGTCATCGTTATGTATGTATTTGGTTGAATTTAAGGATAGTCATGTTGAAAACATCTCTCAGTTGTGATATTATCTGTTGGACATTTGAACTTCAAAATTCAAATGGAAGGAATTCTGCACTGTGTTTCATGTATTAATATTATGATATTAAGAAAATTCAAATGCTTTTCAGTAAACCCTATTTTTATGTCATATATATGACATATAACCTACTAAGCCTTGTTATGGTGTTCTTTTCTTTTTTGGTGAGAAAGGAAGGACTGTTGTCTTTACTGCAAGTAAGTGTACAGTTCACATTGTCTGACAGTAGGGTACCCAATAAAATGTAGGAGTAAACAAAGTAGACAGAAAGTATTACAACTTTTCCTCTGGGAACTATTTAAACATGCTGCCATTTAAATTCACAGTGGGCTTTGAAGTTTTGAATATGTGGTTATAAGTAGTGGCCATTTTAAAGCAGAAGCAGTATCTTTAATAAAAGCAGCAGCTGTAATTTTAAAAGATTCCGGGGGGATTTTCCTGGTGTGGCAGCTAGGCTGTTTAGAATTCTTAAATACCTTGTGCAGCATTTGACAACTTTAAAGGTACTCTTAGCCTTATGTACATTTTATTTTGAAGAAACTCAAATACTTCATTGAGAAGTTATTACTAAATTGCATACACTGAAATTACTCAGGTTCTTCTGTTGTTGTCACATTTGATTGTTCAATTGTTGTTGTTTAATATGGTTGAATTTTTGCTGAGAAACCCTGACGTTTGTTTCCAGGTTTTTTTTAAAGTTGATCTATGTTTTTTTTATTATTATTTATTTCTACAGCTTGATCAAGTTGTCCGTCAGAGAAATCTGCATAGTTTGGAACTTTTCCTTTCATGTGCACAGAAACAGTTAAACGTTTTATTAAAGGAAGAACCAACCACAGAGGAAAACAGAGACTGACATTCCCGGTACCACTGATACAGTGTGATCTGTGAAGCTGCAAATCTCAATTCAGCAAGTGATGAATATATTCTAATCTTTTGGGATTGTATTATTGATTCAAGGTTGATCTGAAACTATGCTTGATAGAAATGTGTGGATGATGTTCTGTTATTTATTTATTTGTTTTACTGCTATTATCAGATTGCAAATATGGAAGGGGAAAAAATCCATGAGAAAAAAAAATTGGGGTTTTTTATGATTTTGTTTTCATTACATTTTCTAGTAACGCATGGTTGAAGTGTTAGGTAACTTGTAGCACTGATGAAAACATTTCCCTGTTATGTCTGTTTTAAATTTGGCATCATGCGTTGATGTGATTCATCGTTATTTTTGATATTTTAAAAATTTGTGACAAACTTACTTGAATATTGATATAAATCCATCTCTATTTCCACAGTATATACCCAAGTCCATTGCCTCAGGTGAGCCTGAGGAGCTTATTATTTCTTACTATTTTTGATGTATAACAGAGGAATCAATGCTGAAACATGAGTGTTGTCAGGCATTTCTTTAATCATTTATAAAAAACTTCAGCTCTGGTAATAGAAAAATTTAAAAACTAAACAGTGCATCTTTTTAGAGTAGTGCAAAACACTGCCATAGCCAATGTATAGTATGTATTTTATTTCTGTTTTACAGAGCTACTTCAATTCCAAAAGTAATTTTCTCATGAAATTACGATTAATGTGACTGACCTCAGTTTCAGGAAGAAGATGTATGTAATTATGTGGAGACTGATACTGCACTGCCTCAGTGGAATTTCTGACAGAATAAGGAGAGCAGCTTGCTGACCTCAGATGCCCTTTCTGAGTGCATGAAGGAAGTAGGAAAGCTCCCCACAGACATTACTGGACTTCGGATCAAGTCATAGGTCTTTCTAGTCTTGCTAACAGCAGATGGAGTGGAATTTCTGTGCCTGCACTCTATTGATTGTAGACTTTGGGCCTTAGTTTTAAAAGAGTGCTGAATGAAATAAGGGAAAATAAGTGTTCACGCTTAGGTATGTAAATAAACTAAGAGTGATCTCTCTTATGGTGAGCTTGTGATTCAGTGGGGGACTTATGGGCATTTTTTAGTGTGGTTCTTGTTATTCAGCAGTACTTTGGGGTTTTTTGTTTGGCTGGTTTTTTGCACCAGCAGTCACTATTCATAATTGCTCTCGTAGAGCAATAAGGAAACACCAAATGGTTGCATAAAGTATTTGACAGTATGAAATATGTATTACAGAAAGTTTAGAATTTTATTTAAATCTTTTTCTGTGCTTCGTTTTTGTAATCAAAGCCAAAGGTTTTGTCTTCTGTATACACAAAAATACCCTGCAAATGGATGAAAATATGGTCTTATTTTTGATACTTCTTGATTGACTGATCAGTTTCTATTTTTTTTGGCAGACAAAAAAAAAAGGTGTTAACAAGTCATCTACTTATTTATTGTTCCTAAGCCAGTGAAATTCTTGTCTTCGTCAACTGCACCAAAGATGACACAGATGTACACATGGATCTTTTTGTAATGTAGAGGCAGTATCAAATGAAGTAGGTTGTCTAGTGCTGTCTCACAATAGATGTGTACTTGTGGAAATGTGGTATGAGCACATTCCTAGATGAACTTGGTTTTACTTCTAGGCCTGGACATGAGGCACTATTCCTTTTTACTAAAGATGTCGGAGTATTCCCCTTGAAACCAGAGCCTTAGGAGTCTATCAGCATTCTCCTAATAAAGAGGTTTGTATTCTGACTTGCAACAGTATGTAAAAGCACTTTTTGGAGAAGCTTACTAAGATTTTGCTGTCAACTATGGTATATCTTTCCCATTGGAACATCGGGTTGTTTAATCTCAGCTCTTGAATATTGTGGTTGTCACAGAGAACTGTAGGTATTTTTTTCTTACCTTTGACAGTTTTAGTCCTTTAGTCTCCCTCTGTTCCCTGCAAGCAAAATTGCACACTAGACCACAGAAATAAAAGATCATATTTGTAGCTCGACTTACATTTGAAACTCCAAGTCTCAGAGGAGAAATTTAGTTATAGAGCACACACAGACCTATCCAGTCTGCGAGCTTTGGAGCATGCAGTAACTTCCACCTTTCCCACATTGCATCCAAAGCTTTAAAGCTTGGTTTTATTTTTCAGTATTTCTGTATAACCATAGGATAATACAGTTTGTGGAAATTTGGGAGGAGGGAATCGTAGAATCAAGGAGTGGTTTGGATTGGAAGGGACATTAAAAGTCATACAATTCAAAACCCCTGCCATGGGCAGGGACACCTTCCACTATCCCAGGTTGCCCAGAGCCCCATCCAACCTGGCCTTGAACACTTCCAGGGATGGGGCAGCCACAGCTTCTCTGGGCAACCTGTGCCAGGGCCTCCCCACCCTCACAGGAAAGAATTTCTTCCCAATATCTAATCTTGACCTACTCCCTTTCAATTTAAAACTAGGAAGTTTGCAAAACCCAGTCTAGCTCCTAGAAGGTGACATCACAATTTTATTTTATTCTTTTTTTATTCCTACATACAGACTGAAGAATTACATATAAGAGAAAATAACATGTTCAAGGTCTACAGGGTAGAACTATCTGCCTTTGAGGTCTGGCTGACAGTGTTACTATTTTGGCAAGACTGTAATGGGAAGAACAAGAAACCCTAGAACTAATCTTTAGAATCAAAATGCAAGAGCTAGATCACCAAAGCTCAAATAATATACATGATATGATTATGTACTTTATATTAGGAATAAACCATAAATCTTGTTATGTAAAGGCATGGTTTAAACAATCAATTTTGTGCATTAGTGTATTAGAAGTGACCTAAAAGGCAAGGTGACAGAAGATCCAGTGTATAAAATATTTCTGTCGTTGGTGTCAATTGGGTCCATTCTATTTTAACAATTCTACTTGAAGCTCTAGAACAGAACAGTGTGATTTGTAGCTAATAGTTTACACTAAGTTAATACTGAATATTGTGATATCATACAGTCCTACACATTTGTGTTACATTTCTGTAGGCTTCTGTTGGCTCCCTATCTGCTTCCATTACAGGATTCTAGGTTGGCTCTGAGACTATGCGTGTACAAGTCCTTCACAATGAGGGAATCATTTGCCACAAGTTTTTTGTATACTACCTCTACTTAAGATATGGGAATATTTGAATTTTTGCCTTGCTATAGGAATCTCATTGACAAATTACACCTGAATGCCTTGAAGCATTGAATTGCTTCACTCCGTCGTTAAGCGGCAGAACAAAGGAAAAGCAGCAGGTGTCATTCCAAAGGCTGAGATCACATTATTATTTTGAGATTTTTGGGCATCTTTATATTGGCTTCTGATCAAAAGTGTGCCATGTCCTGCCAGCTCAGTAAATGGCAATGTTAATTCCTGACTGTCTGAAATTGTCCATGCAGACATGATCTTAAAGAGCCTAATTCCTTTTCACACTAAAACCCCCTTACAGCACTCTAGATCTTCTTCCCCTGTGTATTTCCTATGTCCACATATTTGAGTTTACAGATTTTTCCCTACCCCTTGGATAACAGGAATATGTGATAAGATTTTGTCTGGTTTCCTGGCAAGAGATAGCCACCCACAAAGATTGTTCATCAATGGGACAGATATAATTTACGCTCACTTTCCGATCATGTACAGTGTCAGTGCAGTTATCAAATGGACTAAGTGCAAATATAAAATGAACTGGGTTGGGGCATATCCAATGCAGCTTCCAGCTGACTGGCTTTCTTGATGCCAGATGGGGAAATGTTAAGGCACAGAGCACAACCTGGTCTAACTGGCCATGTGCATCTTCCTGCTTTCCCATTTCATTGCACTCCACACTGAGCTACCTGAAGTCCATAATTTCCTTTGTCTAAATTATCACAGAGTCTCAGAATGGCTTCTGTTGCAAGGGACTTTTGAGATCATCTCATTCCAGCCCCTTTGCCATGGGCAGGGACACCTTCCACTATCAAGGTTGTTCAGTTCTATCCAACCGGGCCTTGAACACTTCCAGGGATGGAGCAGCCACAGCTTCTCTGGGCAACCTGTGCCAGGGCCTCATCACCCTCACAGTAAGTAATTTCTTCCTAGTATCTAATTTAAACCTACTCTCTGTCAGTTTGAAGCCATTCGCCCCTGTCCTGTCACTCCAGGCCCTTGTAAACAGTCTCTCTCCATCTTTCTTGCAGGGTTCCTTCAGGTTCTAGAAAGCCCCAGTTAGGTCACCCCAAAGCCTTCTCTTCTCCAGGCTGAATAATCCAATTTCTCTCAGTCTTTTCTTGTAGGGGAGCTGCTCCATCCCTCTGATCACTTTGCTGTCTCTCCTCTGAACTCTCTCCTACAGCTCCATGTCCTTGCTGTGCTGGGCCCCCAGAGCTGGAGGCAGCACTGCAGGGGGGTCTCCCCAGAGTGGGGCAGAGGGGCAGAATTCCCCCCTGCCCTGCTGTCCACACTGCTTTGGGTGCAGCCCAGGGCACGGGAGGGTTCTGAGTGCCAGAGCACACGGCTGGCTTACACTGTTAAACTCCACTGCAGGAGTGACCGACTTGTGGACGAGACCGTCTTAAAATTTTTTACCTGGCTGTTCTGAATGCTGTATAGAAAGATTTTATGACATCTGTGGCATTAATTTTTCATCAATGGATTATAAACATGCCGAAGAAACATTGGACTGGAAAGTGCTTTTTACATGGGGACAATTCTAGCCTTCAATTCAATGTGCTTGCAGGAACTGACAAAATAATATTTTCTTTTCTGTGATCTGTTCTTCTGAGATATTGTTCTTCTGAGGCTTCAAGAAGGCTCATCTGCTAGCATCATTTAAGTTGTCTTCATTAATTTTTAAGCCTACGTAAAACTGATCCTGCTGCTGAAGTAGGATCATATTTGAACAGTTGAACAGTCACAGGGAAACCACCCGAGTTGTTCTCTCAAGTTTTGTATTTGCTGAGTTGCTCAAGTTTTGTATTTGTATCACCTTTCAGTGATAGGACTTTCTTGTGATAATAATTATTATTTTCCTGTGGTAATATAAATAACAATACTTTTTTGTGATAGATGTGGTATCAGTATTTTATCCCTGTCTTACATGCTGTGTAATTATAACAGTTTTAATGTGCGTCAGAGATTCGCATTTGTTTATATTGCCTGTAATTCCTCTCATTTCAGACTTACAAAACCAGCATTTTTTAGATGCATTCCATTGTCCAGCAAGGATAATACAATGCACAAAGAACGTGTTACTGAATAAAGAGTCAAACTATTCTACTTCTTTTCAGATGACATTTTTAAACAGTTTGACAGTAAACACTAGGAGAAAAGTGAGATGTTTATTAATATACGTATCCTAAAAATATTATTATCAACAAAATGCTACAAATGTATATTTTTTTTTCAGATTTGATAGTCAGTCTGTATGAATAGGTATAGATCACTATCAGATGTCAAATCATTGCCATTCATTGTCTTTCTTCAAGTTAAAATATTTTGTCTTCTCTCAAAAGCTGCACCCCTCTCCATTTAAAAAGAAGCTCATCCTGACTGATCCCTGCTACAGAATACTGTAGGAGGCCCTTAAGCCAAGGGAGAAAGACAACTGAATGAATTTGAAGGGTGTTTCAGTTCTTGTACTACTACCAAATTAGGGCATTGGTTAAGTCTTCACGTCGATTGTGCTGCATAAATTTTCCTGAAGATGACTGGTCATGGTGATGCATGGTCAGTCTCTATTTTTGTGGCTATAATTTTAAAAATTCCGTTACCTAAACATCCCACTCTTTTACTGTGACCATGGATTACATATTTGGAGCATGATTGTGGAGCGCTGGCTCCCAGGAAGTCAGTAGGAATTCTGCTGCTGGTTATTTGCAGTAAATATTTCGTCCTTCCTCGCATTTCTTGCGTTTGGGACCACAATGAATATAATGCACACAATTCTGTCTTTGTATGGCTCTGGAAACATACTGAGAAATTATATCAAAAGCAGATTTCATGATCAGTTCTTTGAAAAAAATGTCAGCACTTGTTCTGTTCCTGGAATAGAGGGGAAGGCAGATGAGCTGTTGTCTGAGACCTTGGTGAGGGAAAATGTGTCTCTCATTATTACTATACTACTGCTAAGAAGAAGGTCTCATCTCAGAAAATAGTATTACATGAGAATCTTTACTTCAAAATTACATCCAAACAGCCAAAATAAAATAAAATAATACAAAATAAAAGTTTAAACTTTGTAAAGCTTGAAAGCATTGCAAGGGTGACATGTTGCAACCCCAAAACATTAGGCTGACAAGTGTCAATAGAGGTTCCTGAGCATCCTGGACAGAATGTTTTGGGAGCTTCTCTGGAGGAATGATGCTCACTGGGGATACTACTGTATCAGGATGATGTACCTAGTCTTGCTTGATTTCTACTCTAATATTAAAAACGAAGCTATATGCACAATGGAGAAGTCTTTACACGTCTGCCAAGTAAAATGGAAAGGGATCCAGATGTTGTGTCCAAAGATAACATTTCATCTAATCATCTTCTTGGGAATACAAAATGTATTTGGGTCTCGAATGAAATAATTTTTCATTTGCAGAGATTGGAATAAAAATTCCTGTAAACTCCATGCAGCAGTGAAGAAGGTCTACAGAAAACTGATGGTCACACAGCTCATGAATTACAAAACTATACTCAGAAGAATGCAAATTATTACAAGGAGGGTGAGCATGAAATTGCACTCAATTTGACTATATCCATATGTAATACATTTTCAAGACTAATTTTCTTCAACAAATTTTTCAAAGAACAGGTGAGTTGAAGGAAGGGATGACATGGTCATTGTTCACCATATCTAAGAAAGATTCAAATGGATGATTGTTTGATTTATCGTATGTTGGGGCCAAATGTTGATATTTATTCCCGTGCATAAGCATCCAGAAGTTCATGCTGGTTTTCACAGAGCAATCATATAGCCCACTCATCTGTAACAATTACATGCTTTGCTCCTATTTTTCCTCTCAGTTAAACTACTAAGTGGATTGAAGTGTTTTATATACCTCGTATACTGTTGGTGTCATGAATAATTTAATTACGTCCATCTCCAGGACAGAGCTCAGAAATGCCAGTTGACAACTTTAAAAAAGTTTTTCTACGTTATAGTGAGAATATAACATTTTCTACATTATATATACACTTTAAAGACTCTCTGTTGTGGAGTTCAATGCAATGAATATGTTTTTTTCTT